TCTACCAAGGCTTTTGTAGTACTTATCTCAGATTGTTATCCTACTGTCCCCAACTAAAATGCAAGTTTCTTGAAATTGGGGCTTTGTCCTATACATCTTTGCATTACTTGCAGTACATAGTACAGTGCCTTGTCTGTGGCAGATGAAAAAAAATTATTTTTGAATGAATGAACAATTTTTAGTGATGAATTAATGCCTTGGTGGAAGATATAGCAAGGGATAATTTTGTCAGAAACCATATTGTCTTTGGGATTAGGAATTGCTGGCCTAAATAGTTTGGGGAGGAACAGGAACTGCAGAATATAGCATTGCCATATGTTCAAGAATAGACCTCCTAGGCACCACTTTCCTTGAGACTCCTGGAATCAGGAGTTCACAGACAGATACTATATAAAAAAGACAGAGATGTTTTTCTTCCTATTGTGTTCCTTTTAAAGTTGGCCAAACAAACAAACAAACAAACCCAAACCCAACAACATAGAAATTGAAGAAGTAATGAGGTATGAAGATAGGATTGTCTCACTTCCTCAAAGAGCTTAATAAATCCCTATAATGACAAACCAATGGGTGGCAGAGATTCCAGGGACTTTGTGTTATCTGTCCCATTGTGTCACAATGAGAAAGGGTTGTGGGTAACATGAAGGCAAAGCATGGTATCTGACTTCCAATTATACTTCCTACCTCAGGAAAAAAAAAATGTAGATTAGAACATTAAGCAAATGCCCAGATATCAGCAAGGCTAGCCCAAACCTGAAAGAAATGGTTTTAAAAAGACCTTTAAAATGTTAAATATGAAAAATGGATTTTTTGTAGTAGAAAAACAATAACTTCATCTCTAATGAGATATTATTCATGAATAAGTGACTAGTCACAGTGGGGAACCATAACTTCACACTGTGGGAATGAAATTAAGGAAGTAAGTAAGAGAAATATGTACTATCTATATGATGAACTATCTTGGGTCTAACATTTTGCATATACATCAGCTCTGAGCAATCCCACTTAGCCTTGTGGTTTGCCTGTGTGAAACTCTACTTGAGAGACAGTATCACACTGGAGAGGAGTCATTTCACACCATTAACACCAGCAAGCATGTTCACTTTTAAAATATAGAATCCCTGGGGTTAATCAAAGTCTGAGAGCTTTGTTTCAGAGAAAAATAAAGATAAAACATGGGTTTAGGTTTTTTTTTTTCCATATAGCAACCATTAATGAAAAGTCAAATGGAAGTACTGGAAATAAATCATGAAAAATATAGAGTTTGATAGAAATGCAAGTTTTCTGCCTTACTTTAAAGTTTATTATCTATAGTGCTGCTTTCTCTTCTTATATACTTGCTTTCTTGGGATAGATACTAAAGAATATTTTCTTCATTGTTCCAATTTTTCTAATTATTCTGGGAAGTCTTGGGAAGGAATTAATTTTGAAATTTAGATGTTGAATCTTCTGCCTTCTCTTTGCCACCTCCTCCATGAAACCTTTCCTAATCTTCATAATAGAAATTAGCTTTCTTTCCTTGGACTATGTGGTTCATTTTATAACTTACTAACTCACTGACCATGTCTTATTTTGCATAATAATTATTTGTATGTATGTAGCATTCCTCCTTTTAAATTATAAGCCACATATTTCAGCATTCTGGGTTCAAATCCCTTATGCAATTCAACTTTGAGGATCTGAGTTTCTTTATCTGTAGAATGAGGGCTTGGACTAAAAGACTTCTAAGGTCCTTTCTTCCTATACTACCTAACTATAGCCTATAAACGTAACACTCACTATAGACAGTGCTATGGTAGACAAATCCTACAATCCATTGAAGTTAAAGACCTTTTTCTTACTAATCTTGGAATCTCACCTTTTGATTATTCACACTATTCTTTACAAATTGGTAAACATCTGATAACTTGAACTGAATGTATATAGGACAGAGTAATGGGACAAATTCTAATCTTTAATTTTTAAGGTCTGATGGACTGAGAATATTATATTTGCTATTTTTCTCATTGTAAAAATAATTTTTAAGTAAAGTTTTTGAAATAATTTCTTTACAATTAAAATAAAAGGAAAAAAGGAAAAAGAGGTTTGTAAAAATTACTATTATATAGTGTTGAGAGAAATAACAAATACCCTCCAAAAAACTCAACGTATCTTCCAACACCCAAGTTATTCTATTATAAAAAAGTGGTAAGAGAAATTTTCCTGCAATGAGATAACACTAGTGTCAGACTATTTTATGTACCTTGATCTCAGGGCCATTGGGATAGAGGTACAGGGTTATGGCAAGTTATACAATACCATTCATCCTTTCCCAACCCTCCCCACAATTTTTTTTAAAATGAAAGAAAGTTAAACTGAATGCCAAGGACAACCTTAGAATGTTAGAAATAAGCCAAAAAGAACAATATGATGGTGTCTGTGGAGAGGCAATTACCTTCCCACCCCTATCCTATAATTGATGCTACCAAGATGCTACTATCTGCTGCCAAGGGAATGATAGCATAGCCTGTCCTTGAGTCACCCTACCTTAGGCATGGACATGCCTCATCACTCTACCTTTACCACCATGGTGGTGGTGGCCTAGAAAAGGTGGCCTATGCTGGGTTCTGGGAGTTGATGGCTTTATAAACTCAGACAAGTCATTTAGCTCTCAGGGCTTCCGTCTACTTCCTCATCTGAAAAATGAGGATATTGAGTTAGCTGGCCTCAGAGGCCCTAGGCTAGCTCTAAGAATCTACAGCTTTTACATCTTTCCTCATTATTAATTTCTTGGAGGAAAAAAATTCTTTTATAATTCTTTCAAATACTTTAAGGATTTTTACATGAAGAGGAATTTGATTCAATAAAATAGAAACCTTGACCTCAACTAGTAGAGAAAATAATTCTCATTAGTATCATAGTTATAGTCAAATTCAATTCAACAAGCACTTTAAAAAATTCAATTTCATTTTATTTTTAGTTCAAAATTCTCTCCTTCCCCTGCCCATTGAAAAGGCAAGAAAAACAAAATTCATCACAAATATGTTTAGTCACACAAAACAAATTTCCACACTAGCCCTGTCCTCCACTGCCCACAAAAAAAAAAGCAAGAAAAGAGAAAAAATATACTTCAACATGCATTCAGAGTCTATCAGTTATTTACCTAGAGATGGTTAACATGTTTCATCATGAGTCCTTTGGAATCATTGCAGGTCATTGTGATTAGAGTTACTAAGTCTTTCAAAATTTACTATCTTTGTGATATTGTTACTGCCTACAGTGTTCTCCTGGTTCTGCTCACTTCACTCTGCATCAGTTTATATAAATTGTCCCAGGTTTTTTTTCCCCTGAAATCATCCCCTTTATCATTTCTTACAGCACAATAGTATTCCATCACATTCATATATTATGACTTGTTCAGCCATTTCTCAATTGATGAGTATCCCTTGAGTTTCCAATTCTTTGCAATCATAAAAAGAGCTCCTATAAATAATTTTTGTACATATGGGTACTTTTTCTACATAGTATACTATTGCTGAGACAAAGAATATGCACAGTTTAATAGTTTTGGGTGCATAGTTTCAAATCACTTTCCAGAATGGCTGAAATAGTTCACAATTCTACCAACAATGCCTTAGTACTTATTTTCACACATCCCCTCCAGCAAATGTTATTTTCCCTTTTTGTCATTTTAGCCAATATGATGAGTATGAGGTGGTACCTCAGAGTTGTTTTAATTTTAATTTCTTTAATTATTAGTGTTATGGAGTATTTTTTTCATAAGGCTATTGACAGCTTTGATTTCTTTCTCTGAAAACTGCCTATTCACATCCTTTGACCATTTGCCAATTGAGGAATGGCTCTTATTGTTGTAAATTTTACTTAATTCCCTATGTATTTTAGAAACAAAACTTTTTTCAAGGAAAATTGATGTGATGATTCTCCCCACCCCCGCCCAGCTTCCTGGTTGTCTTCTAATTTTAGCTACATTTGTTTGTTTGGGTAAAAACTTTTTTTTAATTTTATGTAATCAAAATTATCCATTTTGTCTCCCATGAACCTCTCTTTCTCTTGTTTGGTTATAAACCCTTCCCTATCCATAGATTTTACAGACAATTTCTTCTATGCTCCACTTGTTTGCTTATGATATCACCCTTTATGTCTAAAGCATATGCCAATTTTGAGCTTATGCAGTATAAGATGCTGTTCCATGCCTAGTTTCTGCCAGACCACTTTCCCATTTTCCCAAGTTTTTTTCAAAAGTTACCAAGTTTTTGTCAAATAGTGAATTCTTGCTCCAATAGCTGGGATTTTTGAGTTTATGAAACCTGAGTTTACCATATTTATTTGCTTCTGTCTATTGCGTACCTAATCGGTTCCACTGTCAGCCTCTTTGGTTAATTTTGGTAATTTTGACAGTTATAGTTTTGTGGTAAAGTTTGAAATCTGTTGCTGCCAGGGCCCCTTCTTTCTTATTTTTTCATTGATTCCCTTGAAAATCCTAACCTTTTTTTTCCTCCAGAATTTTGTTATTTTTTCTAGCTCTATAAAGTAATTCTTTGGTAGTTTGATTAGTATGACATTGAATAAGAAGATTAATTAAGATAGTATTGTCATTTTTATTATATTGGCTTGGCCTACCCAAGAGCAATGAATATTTCTCTAATTATTTAGATCTGTCTTTATTTGTGTGAAGAGTATCTTGTAATTGTGTGTCTTCACAGATAGACTCACAGATGTTTTATACTCTCTGGGTTTATTTTGAATGGAATTTCTCTTTCTATCTCTGTGCTTTGCCACTATTAATAATCCTGACAGTCATACTTATTTGCAGGTCTCCAAGCCAGGCAGTAGGCAGGCAGGTAGAAGTATACCCCAGTAGGATAAGGCTGACCCAGGGTTGGACATGTGATGGTAATAGGATTGTGGAAGGCATGGCATGGGATTTGGTAGATTCCCTGGATAGATGGATATGATGCAAACATGGGGGCAGGTTTGTTTCTTCTTATCAGCAGCCCCACAGAATGATCACCACAGACAAAAAGAAACTCCCTTCAGGATATTTATGTCCTAAGGAATGGAAGTCGTTCTCCTGCTGCCCCATGACCACACTGATTCCCTGGGTCAACGTTGTAGTCTTTGTAACTGTTACTCCACTGAACCTGAGCTTGCATTCCAGTGACATAGGCCTCATGAACCCAGGGGGCATCTCTGTGCCACAGGAAGACATTAGAATAGGACATTAGGAGGCAGATTTTAAATACCTTTAATAGAACACAGCAACCCCTGAGTATAATAATACCTGACATGTATGTAACACTTGACTACATTACCTCTTTTGATCCTTCCACAACTTCTGTAAGGTGGGCACAGGAGGTATTATTATTTCTATTTCACAGAAAAAGATAAGGAGGGTCAGAGATGTCAAGTAATTTGCCTGTGGGTACATGACAAGCCCATGACTAGTTTGTCTCATGGCTGGTGTCAGAGGTAAGATTCAAATCTGAGTCTTCTGACTCTCAGTCCAGTATTCTTTTTGCTAGACTATCACACTTGAATACGTTCAGCCAAATCAAATTAGGATACTTTCTTCATTGGCCACCAGTTGCTCTGGTTGGTTTCACCACCACCACCACCATCACTACCATCACTACCACCACCACCACTACCATCATCATCATCATCACCATCATCACCTGTCCCCTCCCAGGAACTCATTACCAGGAAACTCATCATCATGGAGATTGCTTCAGCTTTGATACTCTCACCTCAGCAGTCCCCTCCTTTGCTTTTGCCCCTCTGATTGGAGGGTTGGAGGGTGGAGCAAAAATTACTCCCATGGCCTCCCTTTGTAAAGGCTTATAATCTCAGTCATGTTTTCATTTGCCAGCAGCTATTCTATTTGGTTTTGACTCCATGGTCATCACACTTCTGTGCCCCGCCCTCCTTTTCAGTGTCCTTTTGTGTATTGTAGGTAGACATATTAAATTGTAAGCTCTTTGAGGGCAGGAACTTTTTCTTGTTTCCCCTGTGTTTATCACAGTGCCTGGCACATAGTAGGCACATAATAAATGTTTATTGTATTGTATGTATACTTGTAAACACACATTTTCTTGCTTTAATTTGTATACAGTTAAAGTCTCTGATACCAGTAGGACCATTCCCCCAAAATCTGGCATTCTAACTTTTGTCATATGTGGGCAGATGCTCTTCCATCCTGTGTATTAAACAGCATCCCTTTCAGTGCCATAGTATCAGAACAATGGCATGAAAAGGAATGAATGTTTGGTTAAGCTGACTGAACATGTATTAGGAACATGGCCAAAATAAAAGATGAAATATTAGAATTCCAAAAAGAAAATCTTTCTGTGTAAGAAAAAAAAAAGATTTATCATATGGCATGTGAACAGGCACGCTGCTAATCTTTTACTTCAAATAATAAGAAAAATATATAATACAGTGCATAAAACTTAAGGAAACTACATTTTAAAATCAATTAAGATACACAAAATGTTAAATACCTAGAGCAGAAATATGAAAAATTAAAAGCAACCTCTAGGATGTGGTTTGCACTTAGATTCAGGGTATGCAGATCTGGTGATAAAGTGACTTGTATTAACCATTACTCATTTGAGACAATAATACTGGGAGCATATAAGTAGATTCTCAGATTTTAAAGGAAATATATATAGCATAGCATATTTTATATCAAATAACTATGAGATGAGAATGATGTTAATAAAATCATCCTGACTAAATGAGCAAAAATAATTTCAATGGCTCTATGGACAATACTTCAGTCTAATAGATGCTTGTGTTGATTGTCTACCCAACTTTCTAAGCTTATCACCCATTGTACTACTAGCAGAACTTTCTGCTCTACTCTGACTGGTATTAGCATCCTTAAAAAAAAAAAAAGACCTTGGTGACAATCTATAATGACAAATAAGTGGGTGGGAGCTGCAAGTACTTTGTGGTTGCAGAGATGTCCATTTCTGTCACAATAGGGAAGGGTTGTAGGTAGGATGGAAAGAGAGTTTGGGATCTGGCTTCCAATTACATTCCTCATCCCCAGGAGAAAAAAAATGAGATCATCAATCAGATACCAAGGTATCTATCTGCTCCAGCTCTGAGGATTTAGCAGATCTATTGATTATCATCATTTTTTTAAAAACATCTACTCTAGAATGTCTACCCCTCTCAGAACCTATTCTTTGCTCAGACCTAGGGTTTGCTTTCTGATATTTTTGCTTAATTTTCTCTGTGCCAGTCAAACCTGAAAAAAAGTTATAAGTAAGATAATAATGAGAGAAGTATGAACAAATGATATTTTTTGTTTTTTACACTGCTCCCTCCAATAGGAATGCCAGCAACTCAAGGCCATCTAAAAAAGGGGCTTTGGCTGCAGTCTGATGATGAGAGAGAGCCCTGTTTACTTAAATTCTCAGTAACTTTGTTAAAAATATGACCAGGAATTTCAGCTTGGATATTGGTAGGGAGGCAGGGAGAAAGAAAGAAAAGGGGAGAATGGGGACAAAGGTAGAGTGAGGAGTTATACTGATTTGGGGGGATTTTCAGTTGAGCAGCCTATTGTGCCCTACTCTTCCATAAAGGGTTAAGGTTACTATGTTATCTTCCAAATTCAAATAGACCATATGTAATGTGGAACTGATGGGGTTGGAATCTGAGCCCCAGAAAGGAAAAATTCTGGCCCTGATGCGGTTGGAATCCGAGCCCCAGAAAGGAAAAACTCTGGCCCCAGACCACTCCGACCCTTGGTAATTCTATTACCTCATGGACTCTGTACTTTCCCACATGGCCAAATCTCTGGTGCCTATAGTCCCATCAACTGGTCTTTCATTGTGGCTACACCCAATCTCCCTTCCGTTGTCTTATGTCCCTATGGCCTCAGGCCATTTCCCACCTTTGGTCCCACCTAGGCTCCATTTCCCACCCTTGGGAACTCTCTTACCTCATGGACTACTTGGCCACTCTCCCATCTTTCTGTATATAAGGTCCATCTTGTCTCCATTAAGATACTCAGATTTTTACAATCTAGCCAATAACCCATAGATGCTCAGACTCCTTAAGAGTCTAGCTAATATGGTGAATCTTCAATAAACTTTGTTTTTGGCTGCAAGAAGGCTTGGTTCGAATTCTTTTGGTCAGGACCCGGGTTTCGTGATTTTGGGGTGCCAGAACCCCTAAACTGCATCAGAACCTAGGTGTAATAATAGCCTCACTTGGTGGTGTCTATGTTTGATGCTAGGGGAACTCTAACACCAGGCAGGACCAGCAGCAGACCCATGGTAGTTGGCCAGCCACAGCAATACCAAGGCCAAAGTGTCTGGCAGTTCAGGTGCCAGTTCCCCAGCCTTCACCCTGTATGGGATTTTTTTCTCAGCTCTTTTTTCCTTATGGGTCTCCATAATCCTGTATAAAAGTCAAGGATAGGGTTATCCATAAAGAAGAAGGACCTCCAAAACAGATGTTGTGATTTAAAGCTTTGTGACACATATTTCTTCTATACGTGCCTCATTAGGACCATGGTCTAAGTTTTGTATTAATTATATTTACTATGTTATCTGTGAGTTGTAGTAGCTACCCTCTGGGAGCCCAATGGAATGCTGCTATATTTCTTCTTCTTCTTCTTCTTCTTCCTCTTCCTCCATTTCTTCTATTTCTTCTTCTGCTTCTCTTCTTCTTCCTCTTCCTCTTTTATTTCTGTTTCTTCTATTTCTTCTGCTTCTTCTTCGATTGCTTCTCTTCTCTTCCTCCTCTTCTTCCTCCTTTTTCTTTTCCTTCCCTCACCACATGTGGTCCCTCTCTCCACTTGGGGTGCCATACCCTTACATGTGGGTGCTCTGCCCAGAAGAATAATTTTTGGTTACTTATATTTTGTAAGATATTTTGGGGTTTGGGGGACTAGATTTTTTTTCTATTTTTTTTATTCCTTTTTTCCCAGAAAACTGGGACCATTTACTTTTTGTCCTGCACAGTTTTCATTTATGATATCTTGAAATATAGCTCTGGAAAAACCAGGGGTTTTTTTAAGCCCATTGTGATTAAAATGGAGGTACTTGACTATGCCTTTAAACCCAAACCACTATGGCTTTCATTGAATGGCCAATAAAAGGTGGCTCCTTGTTTAGATTTTGATGGTTTAGAATTAGTGTCAACAGCAATTGTTTTCTGTTCTGGCCAGAAACTTTGAGAGTCTATATACCCTTTCCAAATTGATACTTTTGTGATGGTAAATTAGGTCATCTTTTGTCTCAATTCTTACCTAGCCCTTAGTCATTGAATGGGCATTGCATTGCCTCAAACAAACTGAGACCTGGGAAAGACCTTAATTTAGAAAGGCAAAGGTAACCCACTGCATCCTGGGCCATTGCCAGTCATCTTGACTTTTGTCTTGCCACTGGACTTCCATGACTAGAGAGTGAGGCTGATAACTTCGTGCAGCTCAGCCTCACTCAAATCCAATTCATGTGCAAGTCAAGACATCATTCCAGGATGTCACTGGTCCTCTTTCAGAGCAAAGGATGAACAACATCAACTACTACCTCTGTGGCAGTCTGGGGAAGCCTATGGACCCCTAATGGCAGTCTGAGGAAGGCTATGGACCGTTTCTCAAAATGTTTTTAAACATGTAACAAAGCTGTCTTCCATATGCAGCATGGGGATATTGTTGTGTGGCTCAAGGGGAGGTCAGAATAGAGACATATCTTAACATCTTTTCCACCATGTGTCTCAATGGGAGGTTTTAATTCCTACCAGGAGGGGAAGCAAGAGTTTGAAGTCAGAAGCTTGGCAACTTTGCTCTCCTCAGAAAGAAGATACCAGGTTGGAATTGTAGCTCTTTGCTTTCTTACATGTTATTAGTCTAGGGAATAACGTTTACAAGCTAAACCTCTGATCACTTTTCATTAATGGGGAAAAGAAGACCCCAAGATTTATATATACAACATTTGACTCCTTTCTCACCAAATACTAGTTTCACACGAACACACACAAACATAGCAAATGGCAAAGAAACCCATTTTCTGGTCAATAACAAAACAGAAATCAGAGAAAGCATACATATGAAAATACATACAAGAAAATAAAAGAGTGAAGTAGTTGTCTCATTAGGAATGAGGTAACTCAGCTCAACAAATGAGTGCTAGATCTCATCCAAAGGAGAAATTCCCCAAAGTCTCTAAAGTAGTAGGCTGGGGATAGGGACATGATAGAGATTGCTAGCTTCTCCCCAGAGTCTTTTTCTTCCTTCAGCAGTCTGAAGAGGAATCGGCATCATCCATCCTCTCTCTTGAAGCTAAAAGTCAAAAGTGTTCATAGCAACTGAAGAGACTGAAGAGCTTTTCTTTCTCCCTCTTTATAGTACCATTCTACCCCTCAATGCTCCACCCTGGGACAGGGATTGATTTCCATCAATGAGGAAATAGTCCCATACCAATGAGCTTTGATACTTAGGTTACAAATGAATAAAATAAAACACATAGGCTTACAAAGGAAGCCATAGATTGGTAATTTTTTTCCCAACCAAGTTCATGGACCACCTCACTCCCCTAAATTTGTCCATGGACCCCAGGTTCACAATCACTCACTTGAGGGAAAAAATATCTATATCTTTAAGAGAAAACAAATTATCTTTTTCTTCTAATCACACTCCACTGGTTTAACTAGTGACACCAGTCAGGATTGGTGGTCATCAGTTTTATCAAACAATTGAAATAGCATAGAAATGAAAAGGAGCAACAGGGAAATAGAAGCTTAGATGCTTGCTACCTTTGACAAGCAACTGGGTGTCTTTGACCCCTTCACTCACTGAGCAGAAGGGAATCAGGAAGTAAACTGTCCAGCAGTTAAATGGAGAACAGGTGACTTCAGGCTAAACACCCATTAAAAAGCAAAGAGGATGTGAACTTTTAGCAATCTCTGGCTACTCCTCATGAATCCCAACATCCACCCATGACAGCAATGACTTCATAGATGAAGGTCACACTGCCCTTGAACCCTCCCAAGGTTCCTCCCCAATCAGTTCAGCTGCTCTTAGTCATGATGGATACTGAGCCCTGTTCTATCTTTCAACCACATCTTCTTCCAATACCAAGGTCAGTGTCATGGGCTTTTGGGGGGATTCTGGGTAAAAGCATAGCAAGAATTATAAGCTCATTAGTTGAAATGTTACAATGTGAAGAACATTGGATTTAGCATCAGAAAACCTTAGTTTGAATCCTGTCTTTGCCATTTATTAATTACTTCACCTTAGTGAAGTCAACCTCTTTGGGTCTCAGTTTCTTCAACTGTAAAATGAGAAGCTAGATTTTATAATTGCTAAGGCTCTTTCAGTTCTAATATTCTGTGACTCAAATGGTAGAGGTTACAGACCTATGGGGCGGCTAGGTGACTCAGTGGATAGACTGCTGGCCCTGGAGTCAGGAGGATCTGAGTTCAAATACAGCATCAGACACTTACTAGCTGTGTAACCCTGAGCAAGACACTTCACCCTGTCTGCCTCAGTTTCCTCATCTGAAAAATGAGCTGGAGAAGGAAGTGGCAAACCACTCCAGTATTTTTGCCAAGAAAACTTCAAATGGGGTCATGAAGAAGTAGACACAACTGAACAACAGACCTAAAGAGAAGGAAGAAGACAAGCATTTAAGCGTATTCTATATTATCTCCATTTTACAGTTGAGGTAAAAATAGAGTGATTTACTCAGGGTCACACAACTAGGAAATGTCTGAGGCTGGATTTGAACTTAGATCTTTCTGACTCCAACTCCAAGACTCTGTCCACTGTTCCACCAGCTACCTCATAAAGAAGGTGTTATATTTTAGGCTAGTAAACTTTGAGCCCCTGGAATCATGCCATTAACAGCTATCTACTTATGACAGCCATTATTGTACACTGAAATGGATAAAATACAAGGTTTAAGACTCTCTTTACCAGTATCTTGCTTTTTTGGTCAAACAAATATCCTGAATTTTTCTGCAATCATTTTGGGAGGTTGAGGGCAAATCATAGAATTATACTTCTTAAGAGCTAGAAGGGGATTTAAGAGACAAAATTGTATTTATAAAACACCAGGAGGGCTATCTATTTAAAGGAACCTTCTTATAAGGGGAATTATCAATTCTCTAATTTCTCTTTTGTGTGAATCAAGATTTTGATACATTAGGCTTGCTTAAAGCATACATGTCACATATTTGCCAAACATAGAGACTAAATATAGCCTAAAGAGTTTAAATTCAGTTGGTAACTTAATCATTCTTTGTAAATGTGCCAGGTCGTATCATATTTAGAACTCTATGTTCTCAAGTGCTCTGCTCATGGAGAGAATTTGCTAAACTGATACAGGGACAACAAATTAACAAACATAGGTTTTCTGTATCCTAGGATCTTCAAATAAGAATTACATATATGATTCTAGTCCAAGATTTTCAAACTTTTGTGGTGTCTCAACAACTATCATTGATTTTGTATCTAAAATAATAATACTTCCCAAATAATAATGACTGACATTTATATGGAGACACAAACATACTGTATCTCATCTGATCCTCAATACAATGCTATAAGGTAGGTAAGGTAAATATCTTCTTTTCACAGATGAGAAAATTGAGGTCCAGAGAGGTTAAGTGACTTCTCCAAGTCAATAGTGTTAAAGTTAGGATTAGGCTCTCCAGAGATCTGATTCAAACTACTTTTCATATTAAACTGGTGCCCTTTCCCTCCCCAAAGGATATATAAATAGTGTTGCAAAAGTTAGTGTCAGAGACCACAATAGAGACTCAATAGAATGAGTCTCTACTGAGATTCATAATGAAAGTTCATTGAGGGCAGGGGCTGTTTCATTTTGTCTTTGTAACCTCAGCTCTTAAGGACTAGGAATGGATCTGAGATTTGGCTGAAAAAGCAAACTTCTGGATGAGGATACTTTCTCTACCAACACAAATGAACAACTCTTGGCAAATTATGGTCTTACAGGGTTGCTTGATATCCCTGAAAGGTTTCCAAGGTCAAAATGCCAGTATTCATTAGGGTTTCCAAAGTCAAAGTGCTGAATTCATCAGAGATCTTGAAAACTAGGTCCTCCTGAGTCTAAGACACATTCCTTAGCCATTTAGCCAAGCTTTCCCTTTTGGCACATGGTAGGTGGCTAAAAAAAATGATTGCTGAATTGAACTGAAAAGACGGAGGTATGAAAGAGAAACACAGAGAGAAGAACAAGAAGAAGAAGAACAACAAGAAGAAGAAAAAGAAGATGATTGATGATGATGATGATGATGATGAGAAAAGGGAGAGTGAATATAAAGGGGGAATGGAAAGAGGAGGGAGAGGGAAGGAAGAAGGGAAAGGGGAGAGAGAGAGAAGAAGGAGGAGGAGGAAGAGAATGGAAGAGGAGAAGGAAGAAAACAAGAAGAAAGGGGAAGGAAGGAAGGAAGGGAGGGAGGGAGGGACGGAGGAGAGAAGGAAGGGAAGGAAAGGGGGAGGGAAAGAAGGAGGAAGAAAGGGAGGGAGGAAAGAAGGAAAGGAAGGGAAGGAGGGAGGGAAGGAAGGAGGAA